GAACAGACAGGTCAAGGGGGCAGGATGAGGTTAGTAGGTAGGAGATGGGGGTGTGGCTTGAGGTGGGAGGAGGGGATAGGTGGGAGGAAGAACAGGTTAGGGAGGCGGGGACAAGCTGGGCTGGTTTTGGGATGCGGTAGGGGGAGGGGAGATTTTGAAGCTTGTGAACTCCCTACCTATGTCCGTGACACCACCCACGCCCTCCACCTCCTCCAGAACTTCCAATTCCCTGGTCCCCAACACCTCATCTTTACCATGGACGTCCAGTCCCTATACACCTGCATTCCCCATACAGATGGCCTAAAGGCCCTTCGCTTCTACCTGTCCCGCAGGCCCGACTAGTCTCCCTCCACTGACACCCTCATCCGCTTAGCCAAACTCGTCCTCACCCTCAACAACTTCTCTTTCAATTCCTCCCACTTCCTACAGACAAAGGGGGTGGCCATGGGTACCCGCATGGGCCCAAGCTACGCCTGCCTCTTTGTAGGTTACGTGGAACAATCCCTCTTCCGTACCTACACCGGCCCTAAACCCCACCTCTTCCTCCGTTACATTGATGACTGTATCGGCGCCGCCTCGTGCTCCCACGAGGAGCTCGAACAGTTCATCCACTTCACCAACACCTTCCACTCCAACCTTAAGTTCACCTGGACCATCTCTAATACCTCTCTCCCCTTCCTGGACCTCTCTGTCTCCATCTCGGGCAACCGCCTAGAAACCGATATCCATTTCAAGCCCACCGACTCCCACAGATACCTAGAATACACCTCCTCCCGCCCACCTTCCTGCAAAAATGCCATCCCCTATTCCCAATTCCTTCGCCTCCGTCGCATCTGCTCCCAGGATGAGGCATTCCACTCCCGTGCATCTCAGTTGTCCTCGTTTTTCAAGGACCGCAACTTCCCCCCCTCAGTGGTCGAGAACGCCCTCAACCGTGTCTCCCACATTTCCCACAACTTATCCCTCACACCCCGTCCCCGCAATAAGGACCAAAAAAGAATCCCCCTCGTCCTCATGTACCACCCCACCAACCTCCGGATCCAATACATCATCCTCCGACACTTCCGCCATCTGCAATCTGACCCCACCACCAAAGACATCTTTCCTTCTCCACCCTTATCTGCTTTCCGGAGGGACCACTCTCTCCATGACTCCCTTGTCCGCTCCACACTCCCCTCCAGCCCCACCACACCTGGCACTTTTCCCTGCAACCGCAGGAAGTGCTACACCTGCCCCCATACCTCCTCCCTCACCCCCATCCCAGGCCCCAAGAAGATTTTCCACATCAAGCAGATGTTCACCTGCACATCTGCCAATGTGGTATACTGCATCCGCTGTACCCGGTGTGGCTTCCTCTACATCGGAGAAACCAAGCGGAGGCTCGGGGACTGCTTTGCAGAACACCTACGCTCGGTTCGCAATAAACAACTGCACCTCCCAGTCGCGAACCATTTCAACTCCATCTCCCATTCCTCAGACGACATGTCCATCCTGGGCCTCCTGCAGTGCCACAACGATGCCACCCGAAGGTTGCAGGAACAGCAACTCATATTCCGCTTGGGAACCCTGCAGCCCAATGGTATCAATGTGGACTTCACAAGCTTCAAAATCTCCCCTCCCCCAACCGCATCCCAAAACCAGTCCAGCTCGTCCCCGCCTCCCTAACCTGGTCTTCCTCCCATCTATCCCCTCCTCCCACCTCAAGCCGCACCCCCATCTCCTACCTACTAATCTCATCCTGCCCCCTTGACCTGTCCATCCTCCCTGGACTGACCTATCCCCTCCCTAACTCCCCACCTACACTCACCTTTACTGGCTCCATCCCCGCCTCTTCAACCTGTCTGTTTGCTCTCCACCTATCCTCTCCTCTATCCATCTTCTATCCGCCTCCCCCTCTCTCCCTATTTATTTCAGAATCCCCTTCCCCTCCCCCATTTCTGAAGAAGGATCTTGGCCCGAAGTGTCAGCCTTCCTGCTCCTCTGATGCTGCTTGGCCTGCTGTGTTCATCCAGCTCTGCACCTTGTTGTCTCGGATTCTCCAGCATCTGCAGTTCCTACTATCTCCCATTCCTGTAAGTCCTCACTTAAAGTGTGTATTGATCTTTATTCTTCCTTGGGATGTAGATATCATTGGCGAGGTCAGCACTTTTTGCCCATCTCTAATTGCCCTTGAACTAAGTCCCTTGCTCTGTCCATTTCAGAGGACAGTTAGGTCTGGAGTCACATATAGGGCCAGACTGGGTAAAGACATCAGATTTCTTTCTCTGAAGAACATTAGTGAACCAGATGGGCTTTCTACAGGGGGTGATAACAAAGTTTTCAATAAAGGACTAATTATGGTAAAGATCTGCAACTGATGAAACTCTTTGTTGCTTATTCATAAATCTAAATGGCTCATCAAATCGTTCAATGTGTTACCACAGTGTCATGCTGTAACTCCTCACTCACTTCCCTCCCATTTATCCACAATTTTGGAATGCCCAGCCTTAAAATCACTCAGTCACCATTTCCTGAATTACAGAGGGAGCAATTAAGAGTCAAACCCACATTGCTGTGGATGGAGTCACCTCTAGGCCAGAATGGAAAGATAGGGCAGATTTTCTTTTTGACAGGGGTATGTGTGAAGCAGGTGAAGGCTCTATCAATGAGGTGTCAGGGGTGGCTCAGTGGTTAGCACTATTGCCTCACAGTGCTAGGGACCTGGGTTCAATTCCACCCTCAAAAAAATTGTCTGTGTGGAGTTTGCACATTCTCCCTGTGTCTGTGTGTGTTTCCTCTGGGTGTGCTGGTTTCCTCCTACAGTCCAAAGATGTGCAGGTTAGGATGGATTGGCCATGCTAAATTGTCCAGGGATGTGAAAGCTAAGTGGCTTAGCCATGGGTAATGCTGGATTACATAGTTAGGGCAGGGGGATGCATCTATGTGGGATGTCCATTGGAGGGTTGGTGTGGACTTGATGGGCCCAATGGCCTGCTTCCACATTGTAGGGATTCTATCTGGTATTCAACATGGTGAATGTCAATATTTATTTGTGAATTCCCTAGAGGGGCATTAGTAAAGTGGGCAAGGATTTTAGTGACAGCCTGGTATGTAGTACGACCTGTACCAGTACTCATTCCCTACCTTCAAAGGGTATCGGTGAAACAAATGTGTTCTTACAACCATCATTGAGGCTATAATTTCAATTCCAGAATGAAGTTGTCTTTTCCCAAGGATGATGGATTTCAAGACTAGGGGTCACATTTTTTTAAGGTGAGAAGAAAGAGATTTTAAGAAGACAAAGGGGGCAATTTTTCTACACAGAGGGTGGCTCGTATGTGGAATGGACTTCCTGAGGAAATGATGGATGCGGGTACAATTACAACGTTTGAAAGACATTTGGATAAGTACATGAATAGCAAAGGTTTGGAGGGATATGGGCCAGGAGCACACAGTTAGGACTAGATTAATTTGGGATTATGTTCGGCACAGACAGGTTGGTCTCAAGGGTCTGTTTCTATGCCATATGACTCTCAATCAGTGAATTGAAATTATGCCTGAGACTGGTGTAGAACCCCAAGCGGCACTAGGACCCAGCCACAGCTGCTCTCTGTCTCTCTCTCTCCCTCTATATTGCTGGACGCGTTGGTCAATGAAAAAGAAGGGGATATTACTGACAGTTTAATTTCACATTCTGCTGTCTCGTCATCGGGGTGGGAGGGGAAGGGGAAGAGGAAGAGGTGGAGAGATAAAAAAAAATACATAGACAGAAAGAGAGAGAGACAGCAGACAATCCAAGGACTTGTGGGGTAGGAGGAAAAGTTTGCAACTTTTCCTCAACTTCCTTCTCCAGGGAGGCTGAATAAGTTTCGGGAGGGGACCCATGACATGAGTTCGCTACTGCAGGACAGCAACGCCGAGGAGAAGATTGACAAAGAGGAACAGAATGGGAGGTGAGTGATAGTTAAGGAGAGAGGGAGAAAAAGAGGGGCTACTCTTTTAATTTATAAAACTTTGAAGCTCAAGGTAGGCTGCAGGAGGAGTCTGAGCTGCACAGTCTCTTGCTTATCCCCTACCCATTCCCAATTCAAAGGCCCTAGTTTTCCCCGTGTTAATCATTAAACTACTTGGCTATTAACCTTAAACTCCAATGTATAGATTCAAACGTACACTAGATTAAAAGAAAACAAATTTTCTTTAAAAAAATTGTATCGTGATATTGCAAAAAAAAATTGATCCTTTAATGTAGAAGGCATCTGGGCATGATTTATTTCCCCATAATGTATCTGCTAGTCTGGCCTCCAACAAACCTCCTTGCTAACTGGCCCTCCTGCATTGTTGAATATTTTTGATCCCAGACTCAACTGACCCTGTAAGGAGAAATTCCTCCTCGTTTTGGATCCCATCTTTGTCAATGTAATAGGATAGACTCTTCAGTAGGATAGACCATTACTGGATTTCTGTGCACACCTTCCCCTACCTCAGGTGTACAGCCAATGAAAGTAGTTATTTATTTTGGAACTTAAAAAAAATGCTGGAGATCACAGTGGGTTGGGAAGCATCCATGGAGAGAAAGCAAGCACTTTTACTTTAGAAGTTGTGCAGAAAACAGGACTGTCCATTTATGGATTTCACAAGCAATACTTTGATAAAGAACAGATCCTTTTTTAAAAGCGGTAATGGTTTATGATATAAATATTCACAGGACACTGGGAAGAAGGGGGAGTGTGCTCTAGCAAAATAGTGACTGTGGGATCATTTGCCCCCACCTGAGATGGCAGATGGTGCATTCTGAGAGATGGGGTGGTACCTCTTTAGTGCTGACACCAACTCAGATAAGATGGCAGGGAGAGGTGATGAGGAGGAATTTCTTCTCTTTGAGGGGTAGTTGTGAATCTGTGGGATTCTCTTCACTCAGAATAATGAGGCTGAGAAAGACAGGTGTCAGATTGACAGGGAAGGGAATTGAGAATTGGGGGAAAGAGGTGGGAAAAGGTGTCAGAGGTGCCTTGAACCGCTGGAGTGGTGGAGCAGTCATGAGGGGCTGGTGGTCCCTCTTTCTTATGTTGAAGGGGATCATACATTTTCCCTCTTGCCTTACCCCTTAGAGGTTAGGCTGATCATGATTATGTATTTGAAGGTTGGATGAAAATAGGCAGATTTTCTAGAAGTAGTCCTATCTAGAGATGGTTTACAGTACAGGAGGAGGCCATTCAGCCTGAAATCTCTGTGCCAGCTGTAGCAACTCCCCCTGCCTTTTTCCTATGGGCCGGCAATTTTTTTAATCTTCGTTTTATTATCCAATTTTCTTCTGAAGTTTTGACTGAACCTGCCTCTACCACACTTTCCACTGGTGAAATTCCAGATTCTAACCACTCGCTGTGTAACAAACCTTTCCAGGTCTCATCTTTGCTTCTTCTGCTGGTTACCTTAAATTAGTCACCTCTAGTTCTTAGTTCTTGATCCTTCCTCCATCGGTTTGGCCTACATGTGATCTCGGACCCACAGCAATGTGGTTGACTCTTAATCTCTCTATAATAAGAACATAAGAAAAAGTAGCAGGTGTAGGCCATCTGGCTGGTCGAGCCTGCTCCACCATTCAATAAGATCGTGTCTGGTCTTTTCGTGGACTCAGCTCCACTTACTCGCCCCTGCTCACCATAACCCTTAATTCCTTTAAACCATAACCCTTAATTCCTTTACTGTTCAAAAATATATCTATCTTTGCCTTAAGAACATTCAACAAGGTAGCCTCAACTGGGCAGGTAATTCCACAGATTCACAACCCTTTGGGTGAAGAATTTCCTCCTCAACTCAGTCCTGAATCTGTTCCCCCTTATTTTGAGGCTATGTCCCCTAGTTCTAGTTTCACCTGTCAGTGGAAATAACCTCTCTGCTTCTCTCTTATCTATTCCTTTCATAATTTTATATGTTTCTATAAGCTACTCTCTCCTTCTTCTAAATTCCAATGAGTATAGTCCCAGATTACTCAATCTCTCAACTCTGGAATTAACCTAGTGAACCTACTCTGCACCCCGTCCAGTGTCAGTACATCCTTCTCAAGTAAGGAGACCAAAACTGTACACAGTACTCCAGGTGTGGCCTCACTGGCACCCTATATACAGCTGCAGCATAACCTCCCTGTTTTTAAACTCCATCCCTCTATCAATGAAAGATAATATTCCATTTGCCGCCTTAATTACCTGCTGCACCTCCCTCTGTAACGGTCTGAGCAGGACACTGTGGTCAATTCTGGCCTTGCTGGAGAGGCCCATACACCATTGAAGAACGAAGAATTAAAAGGAGTGGTCAGAGTACCATTCCCCTGTTGGATCCCACCCACTAAGGGCAGCATGGTGGCTCAGTGGTTGACAATGCTGCCTCATCGCATCAGGGACCTGGATTTGATTCCACCTTCGGGCGACTGTCTGTGGGCATTCTCCACTGTGTCCACGTGGGTTACCTCCGGGCTATATGGTTTCCTCTCATAATCCAAAGATGTGTAGATTAGGGTGAATTGGCCATGCTGAATTGCCCAGAGTGTCAAGCCATGGGAAATGCAGTGCTACAGAGATAGGGCAGGGGGCTGGGTCTGGGTGGGATACTCTTCAGAGAGTCAGTGTGGACTCAGTGGGTCAAATGGCCTGCTTTCTCACTGTAGGGATTCTATAATTCTAACCTTCCTACAAGTTTTTATTTTAGTCTTTTTGCCCATTCAATCTCTCAACCACTTCCTCTTATGACTTCAGGAGCACCTTCCACAGTGAAAATAATTGAAAATTACTCATTTAACATCTCAGCCATGCTCTTTGCTTCCGTGATATTTTTAAATTTTCTTCTTTAATGGCTCCTACGCCTCCTTTGACAACCTTCTAACCATTTATTTCTCTATCGCAGATTTTTGAATTGCTTATGATGTTAGCTACCAGTTGCAACGTGGACTGGACTTGAGGCATATAGAAACATGGAAAATTGGAGCAGCTGTAGGTCACGCAGGCCTTTAAAACTGCTTCATCGTTCACTATGATCATGGCTGATCATCGAATTCAGTAGCCTGTTCCTGCTTTTCTCCTATATCCTTCAATCCCTTAGCCCCACATGCTGAATCCAACTCTTTCTTGAAATAATGCAATGATTTGGTCTCTACTGCATTCTGTGGTAGAACATTCCACAGGCGCTCTACTGTCCAGGTGAAGAAATTTCACCTCATCTCAGTCCTAAATGGTTTACCTTATATCCTTCAACTTTGACCCTTAGTTCTAGACTCCTCCCACCATTGGGAACATCTTTCCTGCACCTACCCTGTCTTAAGAGAGTTGGAGAGTCAACACTGAGGGAGGGCTGTGCTGTTGGTCAGTCCTGAGGGATGTGGGCTCATCAAGGCTGTATACACTAGATTAATAATTACAAGAGATTTGCCAGGATGTTGCCTGGAGGGAATGGAGGGTTTGAGTTATAAGGAAAGACCAAATAGGCTGGGACTCTTTTCACTGGAGCATAGCAGGTTTATAAAATAATGAGGGGTACAGGGAAGCTGAATGGCAGTTGTCTTTTCCCTAGGGTGGGGGATTTCAAGACCGGGGGCATATTTTTAAGGTGAAAAGAGAAAGATTTAAAAAAGACATGAGGGGCAACTTTTTTACTCAGAGAGTGGTTCGTGTGTGGAATGAGGAAGTGGTGGGATGTGGGTACAGTTACAACATTAAAAGACATTTGGATAAGTACACGAACAAGAAATGTTTGGAGGGATAAAGGCCAAGTGCAGGCACGTGAGATTAGTTTAGTTTGGGATTATGGTCGCTGTGGACTGGTTGGACCGAAGACGCTGTTTCTGTGCTGTATGACTCGAATTGTATCAAGAGTCTGAAATGAGGAAGTGTTCCTTTCAAGCATGCTCATTCAGCAAGTACTTAACCATTGGAGGGAGGGATTCAAGAAGGTTGTACACATGTTCTGTAATGTTACTCGTCAGCCTTTTTCCCTCGTTCCAAAATACTACTGAAATTCTAAACTCTGCTTTTGTTACCTCCTGTCTCAGCTATTCCATGCTCATCTGGTCTGGCCTCCTACTGTTCATCAACTCCACCTTAAAAGTGGAGTTATAGGTAGACAGGCTAGTGAAAAATGCGTTTGGTACACTTGTCTTTATTGGTCAGTGCATTGCGTATAGGAGTTGGGAGGTCATGTTGTGACTGTACAGGACATTGGTGAGGCCACTTTGGGAATACTACATTCAATTCTGATCTCCCTGCTTTAGGAAAGATGTTGTTAAACTTGAAAGAGTGCAGAAAAGATGGTGCCGGGGTTGGAGGGATTGAGCTATAGGGAGAGGCTGGATAGACTGGAGCTATTTTCCCTGGAGCGTTGGAGGTTGAGGGGTGGCTTTGTAAATGTTTATAAACCGTGAGGAGCATGGATAGAGTGAATAGCCAAGGTCTTTATCTCAGGGTAGCGGGGCCCAAAACCAAAGGCCAGAGGTTTAAGGTGAGAGGGGAAATATATAAAAGGTACCTGAGGGGAAACTTTTTCAGAAAGAGGGTGGTGCATGTATGGAATGATTATGGAATGCCAGAGGAAGTGGTGGAGGCTGGTACATTTACATTTAAAATGCATCTGGATGTGTACATGAATGGGATGGGTTTGGAGGCATTTGGGCCAAATGCTGGCAAATGGGACTAGATGAATTTAGGATATCTGGTGAGCATAAAGTTGGACTGAAGGTTCTGTTTCCATGGTGTACAACTCTATGCAAACTCACCTAAAACTGTCCAGCTCACATCCCAAATCCTATTCACCCACTGTCTCCCCATGCTCACTAATCTACACTGACTCCTGGTCCAGCTCTGCCTCAATTTTAACCTTCTCATCCCTTGAATGTTAAGATGTCTCACTGGGACAGCATGCTGTACAGTAATCCCCATTATCCCCAGAGTCCTAGACAGGGAAATTTTTT